AGGGGTAGATATGAATTGGATAATAATGCACACAACTGAAGAAAATAAACCATAAAAACAAGGACCTGGATGTTCACTCATGCATAATACTTTAGTCAATTCTTTAATAGGTTTAATTTAATATTGAGCATCAATCTCATTGAAGTAACAATTCAAAGTGGGGTTGTTATATTTCCAAGCGCAAGTGTAGCCATGTGATATTGGCAACAAATACAAGTCAGATCTAAAAACATCTGCAGTTCTTATTCAAGATTTCAATCAATTACATTGTAACAATTGAAATATTGATTTAACAACATAAATCTCTTCCTTCATTCTCAACGTATTTTCCTACACAATGGAAAACACACTATAGCGCGGGCAAACAGGTATAAGGACAAACAAAAATCTATGAATGAAGTACTGCACTACATTTGTTCTTCCATCAGGTAGCGCTATCAGCAGCACTTATCACCTGTTACAAACCCTAATCCTCTCTTGCCCTGTGCCGTTCTCTTTGTTCGTTTGTAACCTCTGCAGCCGAGCACAGCACCTCTCCAGGGTCTGCGGAGATGCGCAGATTTTTGGTCGCGCCTTTGTTACATATTTCCTGTCAAAGGTCACGCAGCCGGGGTGCTCGAACGATTTTCTGCAAGATCCTGCAGCTATCGCAGGGTTTGGAGGGCTGATCGCGCAACTTCGGCAAGATTCTCGCGTAATTTTTCGGGAATCTCGCGCAGCTGGCTTACTTGCGGACACGCTCGAACGCACCCAAAGCCTTAGTAAAGTCATGTGACAGAAAGCCTTAATAAAGTCATGTGACAGAAAGCCTTAATAAAGTCATGTGACACAGAATAAAGACCAAATGAGTCGCGGTGCATGAGTGGGTCAAGCATAGTATTTCCATGCAAATAAACAAGATTCAGTTTTCATGACATCATGCATTGATTACAGACTCAGTTATCATGGTTTTCAGTTTCATCATTTTCAGTATTTATTGGCCGTTTGGTTAACTTAGGGAAACAAAACTATTTGCTCAGGTTTAGGCAACAAAACTACTACTTTTGCTTGAGGCACCAAAACTATTTGGTGGAGGAAAAGATTATGCTGTGGGTTAATATTTACCCTTTCACAGTTAACCACATCTTCAAAAGGCTTTCTAATGGAAAGCTTTCAGACGGAAAGTCCTCAGGCCGAACGTCTCCCCTGTGCCAGCCCTATAATGACAAAAGAAATGGCATTTAAAATGATGCGGAGACTTCTTACCTGCTTTGTGTGGGTAAAATATGTTTGTTGGGAGATGAATCAAAAAGCTTGAAATGTAACTGTAAGTAGTTGAGCTTGTATAAAATTAGAGCTGAAAGCCTAACTGTAAAGATGAGTGTTGCTTGGTGAGACTAACCTGTTATTGAATGTTGTCAGTAGAAACCATGTGGAAAAGGGTTTACAGAAATTGGTGAGTGCTTGTGAAACAGCAGAAAGGCTGTTACAGAGCGCAGTTTGATGGTGGACAGATCAAGGATATACTCACTGCAGAATGGGAAACATCTCACGATCAATATTCTGTTCTTAGCCGCTGTTCATGCTATATCACAAATAAAATGATGGCATCAACGAGCATAATTTGGTACATTCCTGTTGGCCATGTGCAATGAATTGTTAAGCAGACTTATGGTTTTTTCACAAGCTTGACACCTGATCATTTCTAATGTGGGAATGAAACATTGGAAAACTGGCACTATAAAATGTAAGAAGAGCTTTAAAAAGGCCCAGCGAAGTCCCCAGATCACATCAGACTGTGGACGTGATCATGGAGATGACGCGAGATTCACTTGTGTTGGAGAAGCCCCAGTCTATCTGGGCTCAGCCTGGGAATGATTATTTTCCACTATAAGCCATAAATAAAGAATACCATTCTGCTTAATCACCGTTATTAAATCCAAATGCCCCAGGTTTGAACCACACGATGTCAACCTTTGCAACTTGGGTGCAAATGGCTCCCTCTAGTGGAGAATTGTGAGTGTGCGCAAGCTCAGGGGGCGAGCCAATAAGGAAGATCGATAGAGCAATGTTTCCCAACCCGAGACAAAGTGGGCACTCGCTGAGTGTTGCAGTTTTACACTTACACTTTCGAATGCCCTCACCTTTAAACTAGCATAGTTCAACATCACCCAGTGAGGTCATTTTCTTTCAAATTGTAAAAGCACTAACATACTATTTCCTTTCCATCCCGATAACTTCGTAAGCACATGGCTTGACGGACGCACTCCTATTCCACAAAATCAATCTGTTTTCAACAAAACAGCCCTGTTAGCAGTTCTTCAGTTTAGAAAACAGTTTACTCGCGTCAAATAAAAATCCTTTTGTCTCCTTACTGTACATTCTACAGTCACTAAACTGCTTCTACACACCCTTGCTCCTTTTACTATCACACATACATATGATTAGGGGTACTTTTACTTGCGTTAAAATGAATAAAACATTGTTTTAAATTTTCTCAAATTCTGTGTCTCCCAAGCTGAATGGAGCTTGAATTCCAGGACAGGAAACAGTCAGATGTCTCTGACGCCACCCGTTTTAAAATCGGCGTGTCACGGAGTACTCAGCTACAAAAAAATCCCGACACGGGACCATGACCCACCAGATAACCGTGGTACGTCATTTTTCGCTGGCGTAGTGAAATAATTTTTATTATTACAGGCACAATGCTGAGTCATCTTTGGATGAAAACTTTTAAAAGCACTCATGCAAAGAAAAACCTTTCAATGAAGTCTCTCTTGATAAGTTATCCACTCTGGATACTCGTCTAATCATAGTGCACTGCAGCAGGCCTCTGCAAGGAACACATAACAGAATGAAAACACAGACTCATGAACGTGGGCTGTTCACAGGGAAGTATCCGGTCTTTGTCCTGCAGGATCCAGGTATGGGGTCATCAGTAAAGGTGTGAAGGGTGGTGATGATTTCAGGGGCGCACAGACTGGGGAAGATGGGGAGAGGCCCCAGGAAAACTGCAGGAGGATGGGGGCCCATAGTAATACTCATTAAGAGGGCCATAAGTGTTGAGCTCCAGCTCTGGTCAGACGACCTCTGTGGCTCAGCATCACAGCTCAGGCTGGTAGTGCCACACGGTGCAGCTAGTGAGGCCAAAGTTCTCCTCCCTCACAGCCTCGGGCAGCGCGTACTCAGCCAGCGGGCGCAGGTGCCTCTTGATGCTGTGGCCCTCCAGCTGGGCCCTCCCGGGGTCTCCGATCAGAACCCGCGTCCCGCGGGTCTGGACGCAGCGCTGCAGCCAGGCATGCAGGCCATTGGCCAGATCCTCTTCGTAGAACATGTCTCCCAGAAGGATGAGATCCCAGCCCTCCGGCTCTGAACCAATCAGATCCTCCGTCACAGCAGGAAGTGGCTCCAAGCCGTTCAGTTCGCAGTTCAACTTGATGGCGATGGCTGCAACTGAAATCAAGAGAGCAAGGTTAACTGTTGTTCCTGTCCAGCCATACTTGCTTATAGTCTGATGCCCTCAACCCCAAGCAGACTTCATCAAGTTCATTTACCTTGTCAACAGAGTGATGGAACACATTTAAAATCCAGGCCTGTGCACTGATGATGCTTTATAGCTTACCTGGGTCTATGTCATTGGCCTGCACGCGAGCACAGCCACTTATTCTAGCTGCAATCGCCGAGGCCCCACATCCACTGCCCATATCCAGCACAGTCTTATTCGCAGTTACTCCCGGGTTATTTAATAAATACCTGAAAAGATGTGCGTTGTCATAAAACATGACTTTTAAGTATAACTTCTCCAGTTCAGATAATAGTAAACATGGTTTGAACTTCTATGATTAATTACATAAAAGACAACAGGAAAATTGTTGACATCACGAACATGGATCGTTTATTGGTATACGAAGTGAGCTTCAGCCCTGTTCAGTTTTGCAGCCAGGAAAAGTCCTCTCGAGGGCGGGCGCTGAAAAAGTGCTGGGGATGTGGTGACGTCAGACTAACTCTGGAGTCTTATTTCGCGTAAGGGGAGACCCCAGTTTAATTTGCCTTAACAATTGCATTGCTTTGCACAAATACAACTCTGAACATGCAACTGGATACTGAAAAGTACCTTGCGAGTGCTTGTCCACCAGGCCAGTAAATCGCCCAGTACGGGTCAGGGAAAGGCCACAGCTCTGGTCGAGCATGCCAGAAACGACAATTAGGAGTAAATAATCTCAATCGGATTTCCGGAGTCAAGTTACCATTGTTCACTACTTCGGTGTTTTCAATGATAAACTGTCTAGTGTCTTTTTCAGAAATTAAACTGTTTCGAAAAGAATTCCGTCGGACAGGCGTGTGAGAACAATATTTTACACTTACGAGGCCACCTTCTGCAAAATGCAAAAATCGAACTCCCCGAAACAGCATAATACATATAAATGAAGTTATGCAGAAAATGACAGTAGATTTGATTGATTTACGAACAATTTCTTACACGTGGCGATTGGGAGACTCAGAAACGGGTAACTAACGATCTATATTTCTTGATAACTAACTGCATTACGCCGGGGCTGGTTGTGCAAGATTTCGCTTTTAAATATGAAGAACACCTCGATAATTCTTACACACGCATCGTAACAAAGAAAAAGACAGGAGCAAAAGAAATCCGGAGTAAAGCATTAATAAAAGCATTAGTAAAGCATTAATAAAAATAATTTTGACCAAAAAAGTTTTGCAATGACAAGCCAGTTCACCAACCAATCTAAACGGACACCAGGCGCACGCAACCACGGCTCACAAATGTGCAACACAGAAACACTTCTTCTTCATCTGAGATTCCAGTAGACTGTACACCGTATGGCGTAATGCTGCCCTCTACAGTTCATTACAAGACACTATTCAAATCTCCTCACCATTCGCTCTCACACTCATGCCTATGGGCAATTTAGTGTATCCAATTAACTGTGGGAGGAAACCGGAGTACCCGGAGAAAACCCACGCAAACACGGGGAGAACATGCAAACTCCACACAGAAAGGCCCCAGGCCGGAGTCGAACCCACAACCTTCTTACTGTGAAACAGCAGTGCTAACCACTGTACCACCTTGCCACAGTTCTTCTTCTTCTTTGGCGATGTAAAACAACAACCTGGTGCATTACCGCCACCAACTGATGTGGAGTGTGGATCTTGATACTTACTCTCTTATCTTAAAAAAACAAACAAACAAACAAACAAAAACTATACTCAGAATGTCTATTTCCCTCAAATATTGAAATAATATTTTAGATTCTTGTCTTTCTGAACTTTGTCTCAGAATTTCTAAAGTAAATTGACTTTTAATTCTTTTAAGTTTTTCAATCAAATTACTTCTTTCTGCTTCATACTTCTCACACTCAAATAATACATGCTCCACTGTTTCAAATTTCCCACAACTACATCTACCCGTAGCATGCTTTCCCATTTTAAATAATGTGCTGTTCAGCCCTGTATGTCCAAATCTCATTCTTGATATTATTCTCTCTTCTCTTCTGTTTCTTCCAGCTGTCCTCATTTCACCAACTTTCCTTTGTATTCTGTAATACCATCTTCCTTTCCTCTCTTCCTCCCATTGCTTTTGCCACCTTTCCTTTATTCTCTGTTTGATAATATCCCTCACTTCTGTTTTGCTGAGCTTAATTACTAAATCAATGTTACTATACTTTGTTGCCCCTTTTGCTTTCTTGTCTGCTAATTCATTTCCTCTTATTCCGCTGTGTGCTGGTACCCATAGAAAAACTACTGTCAAGCCCATCATCTGAATTCGGAAAAGAACTTGTTGTATTTCTATTAGAATGTCTTTCCTACCTTCTGATTGACTATATTGTAAGGTAGCTAGCGATGAACTGGAGTCTGAACAAATGATTGTTTTCATTGGTTTAATTTCCTCTACCCATAGTAACGCTAACAATATTGCCATCATTTCCCCTGTATATACTGATACCCCCTCATTGACCCTTTTTGCTACTTCGATATTAAATTCAGGGATGACAAATGATACTCCTATTCTTAAAAACAGTTACTGCAGTGCAACTGTATTATTCTTCCCCTACGGCGTGGGGCTGTGTCCTTGGTTCTGCCTCATAAACATTCTCAGATTCGTTGTTTTGGCTCGCTCATTTGGAGAGCTTTTATTTTACGTCCCTTTATAATGGATTATTTTGGAAGTAGCCTTATAAATTTTCACTCTAATTTAACGGTTTTCGGAAGAGTTTTAATCGTTAAATCTTAAAATGAAATATTATCGAATCGTTGAGTTATCCGTTCGAAATTCGAACGCTAGATGACAGTAGAGCACAGTGAGGCAGGCATGGTCACACTTCCCTAAACCAATCTCGAAGTTTTCCGCGTTTATGTTAACTTATTTTACACCATTTTTTAAGCCATTGGATTCCTTTTGAATGTCATGGGAGCGAAGTTTCGAAAGGAGAAGGAAAATCGAAGAGGACAAAGCCATGCTTGAGTGATCAGGGAATTTACTGGACCTCTCGGATATCATTGTTGAAAGCAAATTTTTGTCAATCAAATGGCTTAGTTCTGGGAAAATTAGCGTGTACCTTCAACCTGACTCTTGTCCAGTTTTATCCTAATGAGGAGTGTTGAGGTGAGGGCATGCGCACTGGCGAGAGCTGTGCAAAGTTCTGATCTCTTGATGCGGGTATTTGACATGTCGGATAACCTGTTCACATGATTATTCGGCGAATTAAAGATAATATTGAAATTACTTTCTTGGTCTAGCGCAATAAACGACCTCGGAAATGGAAAAATAATGATATGCATTCAGTTCTGTTGTTGTGGAGCTGAAAAATTGCCACTGTCGTCAAATTTAAAAAAGAACGTTCAGGCGATTAGTTTGATTTCAATGGCCTCTTAAATGGTATGCTGGCCGAATGTCTCTTGCTTTTGTTCCACTTAGACTGGAAAGGCGGGACGGCTCCCTGAGCTGTCGTTGATTAATTCTTTCTTTTGAGTTTCAGCAATAGGTGTTAGATTCCCTTTTAAAACTGGCCGTTTGAACTCAGTCATTAAATCATTGTTTCTGGGAAAATAACAAGTGCTTCATCACCATGTTGACAAATTCATTAGCCACACATTTGTTGAGGCTGTCCTGATTTAAAAGACATTGGACTGGATGTTGTCAGGGAAATAATTTATATCAGGCAGAATTAGCTTCCATGGAAGTGAATTTAAATTAGGCCACTGGCTAAAATTTTTTTATGATTATTTTCATATTTGTTTATTTCCCACTCATTTATCTCAATTGCAAGAAATACAAAACATGAGATTCTTAGATAAAGATGAAGTTCTGCAAATATGAGAATTCATTAAATTTTTTTTTTTGGGGGGGCGGTTGAACTGGTGTGGAATTGAAATTTGAAAACAATATCATCAAATAATCCTGTATACTTATAAAGAATGGTAACCAAAATCAGGCCTCTTACTTGTATTTTCTGAATTATAATGACCTTGTGACTCTTATCAAAATGATTGCTTTAACTCTTCCATTCCCTACGGTAAGCCGGTGCTAGCGGCGTGGATGACCATTCGCAGTCCGATGAAAACACGAAATCAGTTAACGATCGCGGTGATGAGCCACCTGTACTTCAATACTTTATATTGTGCAATTTTCGGGAAAGGTATTCCGTACAAACGCGACAATTTTACATAAAAGTACTCCGTAGGGAATGAGTAAAATCCCAAAGTACTTTTCTACTTAGTGGAAATCAAAACCTCGATAGAGCCCACCAGACGCGCATTACATGGCTGTAAAAACAGATTTCTGTGTCGGTTTTGAAGGTCCCGCTCTGCCACGTGATTTTCCCAGATCCAGCCCCTCGCAGCTGAAAGCAGGGCAGACAAACACTTGGCTCGTCAGCGTCAGATCAGTGTACAGCCGCCCGTGCATGGAAACGCAAATCCCCCGCGTTCGCTGAAATACGACTCTACTGAAGCCTCTCCTGAGCGAAACCATTCGAAACAAACCGGGCCCTTTTGCGTTTAATTGGCCATAGAATCCGCGTTGGCATTTTTCGTTGTATCTGAGCCGGAGAGTGTTCGATATGAGGATATTGTCATTGGTGTAGGAGAGAGACACAAAGCAGAGACCGTGATCCATTATGAGTGGAAGCACCGCGGGTTCCGGAGCGGCTCCTTGCCGCTTCGCTCACTACTTCGTCATATGCGGTATTGACACCGAAACCGGACTGGAACCCGATGAATTGGCAGGTAAAGTGACGTTTTTCTCAGTGACAATTTTTGCCCGTGCAAACACGTAACGCTGTTTCCAAACTTTGATTATTAATCGGTATGTGATGTGATTGCAAAATACAGGGCAGTGTGCTGTGCGTCGCAAAACACCGCAAATAGAGCAGCTGATTTCAATGTTTGAAACAGCAGGTCCCGTGTTGATTGCAGCTCGGTTTAGGAAGCAGGTTATTGAAGGATGTTAAGCTGATTGCACAAGGTAAATGCCGTGGAAACAACGAGTAATGGTGTGATTGTTTTATGTAAATCGTATTTTTGCATAATTAAACACGTTCGCGCTCATATAATACGGAGATAATGATGTTTGTTGCTGGCACAATTGCATCCATAATGTTGTTGTCAGCTTGTCAACAACATTTTTTTATTTTACCCGTAAGGCACCTATGAAATGGTCGCGCATGCAGACTCCGGGGGGGATTATTTAAAAAATTTTCGGATAACATTTTTGCTGTCTTTCGTCTTGTTTTCTGTTCATCCGCCTGTGCCATGTTTAAAATGTGTAATTTTGCCCTTGTAAAATCCATGTTGGTGAAAATACAAAAGCAAGTGAAATAAACAGCACAAAGCATTGCATTACTGACATGATACCTCTGGTTTAGCCGTTTTTTTTTACATCACTACACATTGTTGTAATCGACATAAAACTAAGAATTGGGTGCTTTTTTTTTTTTTGGGGGTGGGGGGAGGGCGGGCATCAGTGAAATTATCAGTATCTCACTCCTTTGTTGCAGAGCAGTGCCTTTGCCTAGAATGTTAAATATCCTCATAACGTGCACAAATCCACTCTGCCGTGGCTTTGATGGTGATGTAGATGGTTTATGCGGCTCAGCAAACCGCTCGGATTGTACAGGCGTTTGTTATTTTGCTTCGCAGACTGGTACGTAAGTTTATTTGGAGCTGTGTTTGCGGAAGATCTGGTCGGTTTATCTGTCTGAGGACTCTGCTCTGCAGTGAGAACATTTTGCGCTTGGCTCTCTCTCCCTCCAGAATATGCCCATGACTACATTTCTGTCAGTGCTGACTCCTTGGATTGTGATGCATACGGGCCGGTGTGCTTTTGTTTAGGACGTTGCAGGTCTAGGCGAAGTTATTGAGTATCAGCTGCTGGATGGACACGTGTCCTCGTGTCTGAGTTTTGCTCAAAGGTCAGTGTGACGCAAGGCCGTGTTTACAGCCATTTATCACATCCAAACAGCCCTGTAGTCCTCGGCTGGTTCAGTGCCCTGGCCTGGCTCAGTGCCATTATAATCACAGGTTCATAGGAGGTCTGATATCTATATGTACATGAAGCTGAATTTGCTCTCGATGGTTTTTGTTGTGGAAAATGGGGAGGTGCTTTTTTGTTTTCGTTTTTACTGTAAATTGGGGCTGAGGGGGTGGGATCATATCCCAGGTTGAAAGTGAAGTCTGTGAGTATTTAGATGGTGACTCTGTGTAAAATGGGCTAAATGGGACATAAAGCAAGGCTGCAGACACCTGTAAGTTGAAGCTGACTGTCCCTACGTTAGGTGAGGGAACCCTTGTTCCATAGAGCTGTAGGGTGTGCTGATTTTTGATTTCACCACCCACTGTAGACCAATAAACCTGGTGAGGTGACTCAACAGTGTAGTCAAGTGCCTCACAGGTCCCCCTATATTGTCACCAGCTGCACCGCCAATGAGCCTTTGAGAGCTATTTCAAAATCTGTTCCTTTGTGACATCACGTGGTGAACTGACAGCCCAGAGGCAAGAAGGACTGATCGACTCCAGCCAACCAGTTAAATCAGGTCCCTAATAACTCTGGCTGGTCTCTCCTCCTTGTGATGTCA